ACACACACACACACACACACACACACACACACATAAATACACACAGTCTCCCCCTGTTTCTTCCTCATCTTTTCAACTATCATCAACTATTCTTTTATCCTTATACATAGAAATGTATAAATATAAATAAATAAATATAGGTATACAAGTACAAATATCAGTACATATTTATGTATCACTTTTTGTCGTAAATGTTTAGGGAAATCAGCGCGTATTTCAGGTTCTTTTTGTCCTACTTTTACTTTTCAATTTTTTTAACCAAATTTTTTCTATTTTGTGATGTTTATTACCTGCTGGAAATTAATCAGCTAATATTTATTTATTTATTTATTCATTTATTCGGTTCTAATTATTCAACTATGCAATTTAACAAGTTTTCCTGCCTTTTCACAATTTTTTTTTTTGTCATCATTTTTTACGCTTGTATTTCGTTGTGACGTATAAAAAGAAGTAAAAGTAAGAAATTTAAAAAAAGAAACGAGACTGAAATAAAACTTTACTCTGATCAATCCATTTTCATTTTTTTTTTTTTTGAGACATGTCCACCGGATGTTTTCCGCTATTAAAACGAAATTTATTACCTTATTCCTGCTGAATACATCTGTCACAGGTAACTTTTTTTTTTTTTATTTCATTAATATCTGCATTAATTTAATTTGTTTTATTTAACATTTATTATTGATTATTTAGTCATAAATCTTCAGCCATAGAAGTGTATGGTTAACTTGTTGTTGTTGTTGTTGTTGTTGTTCGAGACTTTTTCGATGTAATCATCCTCTGTAAACAGAACCGAAACCAGTTTGTAAAAATTTTTAAAACAATTTTCATTTAATTATTTGTTGTTACAAATATGCAGTTATTACGGAAACAACAACAGTAAATGTTGTCATAGGTTTTCCTAGTGTCTGTTCCATCAACGGATCCAGACGGTTGTTAAAAAGAAAAAAAAAAAAGTTGAAATAAAAACATACTTATTGCACCGCTGAAAACATGGAATAAAAATTATGCAAGAATTTTTGAGAAGTGTTTTTTACTGTATTAATAAATTATTGGATATATAACAGCACAATAAGTTATCTGATTGAAGAAATTGGAAAAAAGCAGCAGAATGGCGTTCAGTCGTTTTTTTTTTTCTTTCTTTTTTGCAGTAAGCTGAACCAATTTAAACTCTGTTTATGGATTTGCGCGTAAGTGTAATTGCGAGTTAGAAGAAGTAAAAAAGAAAGCATCAAATAATTTGCCCCAAATTTATCCTAAATCGTTTTTTCTTCTTTTTTCCTTTTGTTAGCTTAAAGATCAAACTTGACAATTTTTTTATTATCAAATTTTAGTCAACTATATTACCAAAGGCCGACTGCACTCTCTCTTCTGTAGTTTATTTACGGTAGATCGGGCCAGGTTAGGGGAAAGATTTGTTTAGTATACTATGGTTGCTGTTGGTTTTTGAGTTCAGGGTCTTGAGGTGAAATTTATTTATAGCTGAAATAACAAACGGTAAGGCTTCGTTTCTGCGGTAATAAAATCATCAAGTTAATGGTGACTTAAACAGGGCTTCGTAAGAAGTATTAAAAAAAGGCTTCTTTTTTTCCTCATCTTCCAAAAAAATTTTTGAGAAGAAATTTCATTTTTTGTTTTTCCTCTTCTCTTTTTTTCATTTTTTTCCACCGAAAAGCATTCCTGGCAATTTTTCCAAATTTTTTTTTCGCCTTTTTTTTTCTCAGCTTTTGGTTCCGCTAAGGCAACAACAACGGCAACATCAGTTGAAGGAAAGTTTTTTTTGTCTATTAGAGATGATCAAATTTGTTTCTTCAATTGCTTATGGTAGTTTTTTTTCTGCTAAGACATTCAATTTCATCTGTTTTTTTTTCTCACTGACTTACTTTGAAATTAAACGAACAATAATGTTTTCTATATTTTGTTCTTCACATTTTTTATTTTGCTATTACTGCTGCTGCTGCTATCTTTTTCTACCGATATTTCATGGCAAAAAAAAAATGACATTAACAAATTGTCATGGAGCAACAATATGACAGCTTTGTAAACTATATCGATAGACCTAATAATTCAATCATCTTTGCTTTATTTTTTTTCTTCTTATTTCCTTCTACGCTTTGCTTTATTTTGTTTTGTTCTGTTTTTTTCTTGGTAAACACAATTATTGACCATCATTGAAACGTTCTCAACTGAAGTTGTCGGGTTGTTATTCAGTTGAACTTTGACGAATATAGGAAGTAAAAAAGCAAAAGCAAAAATATCACCCTTTTTTAAAGTTTTATTAAGAACTTTTTTGTTGTTGCTGTTTTAGTTCACCTCCACTCGATAAATTTTTATTCTTCTCTTTTTTTTTTTTTCGTTTTCAATGATCTTTCTGGGCATTTAGGCATCGAAAATTAATACTGTTTGACAGATGAACAATTTTGAACAGTTAATCATTGATGCTAAGCCAAGATGAAGCAATTGTTAGTCAGCAGAAACGATTGATCGGTGGCAGACAGGCGTCACTGGAAGTCTTCGATGAGGTGTCATCATCGTTATCGTCACTGACTGAGTCACTCAACTTCCATTTCCTGATGTTGCCTACTAAAACACGATGCAAGTTGAGGTCTCTTCGGTGCCACAACCCTTGCTTTCCCGTTTCCTCAGTCTCATTACTCTTATCATAATTACGCATTTCTTTCCTTTTGTTCCCTTTTTCTTTTGCAGTTTTTTCCACTTAAAATCTTTTTAGAAAAAAAACTATTTTTTTTTTCATGGAATTTACTAATAAACACATCAAAATGGTTGTCTTTATTTTGCTTTTACGTGCCTAATTTATGTCCTTTTCTATGAAATGGAATATACAAATTGGTTAGTCCCCGTTTATCCCCTACTCTTTTTCTGTTAAAAAAAAAGAGGCAAATGCAGCAAGCTGACAGTGTACGTGGAAGTTTTGAAGACTATGAAACAGAAATAAGTGTAATAAATGAATCAACTTTCAGAGTACACACAGGACAGTAAAGCTGACTCTGTAATTATAATTTACATGTATACATGTATTTTTTTCTGTAAGAGGCTTCGAAAAGCCAAAGACATAAGTAGATGTTTGGCTTAGAAACTACTTTGTGGAGGTAAAGTGATTACTAAAAGCCACTGAAACCGACCTGATCGCTTAACATGGTCTATTTATATTGGCATTGAGTGTTGATAAGCAAAATTGGCATCAGTTTCTTTTTTTGGGTTTTATTGGACTATCTGATGAATGGAAGCAGAAGAAATCACTACAGTTCCATGTGCTATCATAAAGCACAGAAATATAACAAATTATCTTTTTTTTATATCTAACCAACCTATTTGCAATAGATATCGGACGGCTTTCTCAACAGTATACAAGTACAAACAAATTCTCTTCTAATTGTAGACTAC